CTGAAAATTGAGACACAAGGTCTGTCACTGATGACCCACTCTCCTGCTCATAAAATTGTGGAGCGGCTAATTTCTCAATGCAATGCAATGGATCAGAAGGGTACCATGATAGATTGCTGACAGCTGCAGAAGAATTGACAGGGCCATGTCTCCCACCTTTTACTCTTGGAGCATCTCATCAACCAGCGTGATCTCAGAACCCAAACCAGGCTTAAAAGCAGATTGAAATGGATCCAGATAATCAGCTTAATTTGATTATTGGGTGTTCCCTGTGTCACATGTGTTACTGTCCCTTTGAGATAGCCATCTATCAGTTGTTTTTTTCCACTTAAGAGAAAAGAAAGTTGTAGGAAATGTCACTTATGTCACTCCCAAGCAAGCTGTTTATTGAACATTCATTCAAATTTGTCTGCAGGGACCTTATATGATGTTGCATCAAGAAATTGTTTGCCCACGTTTTCCAGTGCTCTTCCCCATCACTTTTCTTACTGCAAAAAGACTGGAAGTGATAGAAGCAAGTTTATTGTGCAAGAGCATCAAATCCTTAGATTGTGAAGGAGCATCTTAGGGGGACAGAACTGTTCACATTTAGAAGAACTCCAATATGCCACTCTGAGTTATGGGAGATAGCAGGATATACCAGTACATCAATTCACAAAAACAATCTGTCTGGGTCAATTCAGTACTGTATAGATTGAATTGCATAGTGACAAGAAAGCTTGCCAAATCAATAGAAAACTTCTCAAGCTGGGCTAGAAACTTACTGGAAAACAAGATATGCTGAGTTGGGGTGTGTGAATTTTATTGGGGAGAATTTCTGCTATAAAAAGGAATGTGTTGCCTAAGATGTCATTTTTATTCCAAACAGTACTGATAATATGTAATATTGGGTGTTTAAAACAATGGCAAAAAGAGCTGTAAAAGTTTATTGGGCAAGAGAAGAAACCAATGATTAAATTTAAAATATTAACAGATGCTAAAGAAAGAAGTGGATTCTCCCTTCCAAATCTAAAATTATATTATAATGCAGCATGTTTGACATAGATAAAGGAATGGATGGTATTTAAAAATACTAGATTGTTGGATCTCGAAGGATCTGGTATGGCAAGCATATCTGTAGTATGAAAAAGCAAAGGTCCATAAAGACTTTTAAAACTGTAAGGAGTTTATTTGGAGTATGGGCCAAGCACAAGAATCCACTAGAAAGGAAAACACCACTGTGGTTATCCCCCTACAGTGGCTTGTGCCCAAAAAGAAATAAATATGAAATAAAATAGAATTGGGGGAGTTATAGAGATATATTAAGTTATACTGAAAGCACAAAAAATTAGAAGAAATCCAAGACCTGGTAGCAGGTTGGTTTCCATATCATCAAGTAAATGAGCTATTTAAGAAAGATCTGATTTTGAAATGGGGTTGCTTAAGAGTAATGAATAACTGATTTTTAAAATCAGTATAAAATGTTATTAGAATGGGACACTGAAGATGAATTAGTTAAGACAACAATGATACAGTGGTCCAGACAGGCCCAGGTCATAAGATTGATATGGCTTCTTGGGAGAAGTTATGGGAAAAGCATACAAAATTTACTGCGTGTTATACATTAAGAGAAAACTATCTTAAAATGATGTAAAAGTAGTATATAACACCCATAAACTGGCCAAGGTGTATAAAAATATGTCAAGTAAATGCTGGAAATGTAAGCAGATAGGTGGTTCATTGTTACGTATGTGGTGGACATGTAAAAAAGCCAAAGGTTTTTGGAAAATTATATATATATATAAAATAAAATGAAGAAAATGTTAAAATCAGTTATTCCCAAAAGACCAGAAGTCTTTCTTATAGGTATAATAGGGACAGGTGTTCTAAAGAAGATTTCCAAACTATTTATGTATTTGACAACAGCAGCTAGAATATTATATGCTCAGAAATGGAAAGAGGAGGTTCCATTGAAGGAGGAGTGGCTTTTGAAAGTAATGGAATATGCAGAAATTGCAAAGCTGACAGCCAAATTAAGAGATCAAAACAATGAACTTGCCTTTTGTGGGCTATTTAAAAATACATCAGTCAGATGAAATCGCGAGCAAGATTTGATATAAAAGCAGCAGCATAAAAATGACAAAATAATTGTAATAGAGAAACTTTTGTAATAAAGATATAATGCAGTAGAAAAGTTTTGAGCAAAAACACTGTGGGAGGGTGGGAGGTCAACTTATGAAACGTATTGTGAAAATGTGTGAGAAATTTAATTTTAAAAATTACATATGCATGGAACTTACTGGCTCTATTGGCCTCCAGGAGTCCATCCCGTTAACCAGTCCATCACCCCTACACTCATCCGGTAATGAATTGCATCCAGTTGTGTCCTGGCCTTCACACGCAGAAGGTCCTTTGATCCAGTGGAGGCGTCTGTGAGCAGAAAGGCAAAGGAGGTGGTTTTTACCCCAAAAAACCTTTCTTCTGTAGCCCAAACACCACTTTCCATGCTGTTCCAGGGAGTTCTTCAACCCTCTAGAGCAGATAAGAAGAAGGCAGGAGGGTGAAGAGAAGGGAAACAGCAAAAATCACCTCCCCACCTTTCCATTCACAAAAACCTCTGCTGGATCAAAGAGCCTTCCACCAAGTAGAGGGACACAATGGAATGCAATCCTGTTTGTTTGTTTGTTTGTTTGTTTGTTTGCTTGCTTGCTTGCTTGCTATTGATGTTTCTTAGTTGTATTATGATGAAACCCCAGACGTCATAAAGTAAAAATGTTTTAAAGCATCCAATAGTTAGGAGGATCCAATATCATCTAATTATTTACCTGATCCAAGGAGATTTGAGATGTCAAGGGTTTTGAATAAGGGAGTTTGTCAGGGTACTCTCTGTACCATCATGGTAATCTGCCAGAGGAAGGCACTGTTAACCTCTTCTCTGCTCTACTACTTCACCACTACCACCCATTACCAGAGAGTGGTATTGCAGCTACCTGGGACTCCAAGAACCAAGCCCTATCAGTTTGCTGACTGGGGTCTGACTTACTACTCCCAGCAAATTGTTGCTTAGGCACAGGCTTGTTACAGAGATTGCAGACCTCCCCAGTCTCAGTCAAGCAGTAGCAAGATTCCAGCACAGGCGGAGGAAGAGGAGTGCGGGGGGAGCGCACCGCGCCCGGCAGCGCAATCCCGGTGGGGTGCCATCGCAGCTGCCCCCCCTGCTGGGTGCCCTGCCCCTGGGACGCGCACCAGCCCCGCTCCACCCGCTCTCTGCCCCGCCCCTGGATGCCAGGGGGTTCTAGGCTGTGTTTCCGTTGGGAAATCAAGGCACAGGGGAGACTAAAGCCTTCAGTGGAGGGGGTGCAGAACATAATGCCTCAAGAGCATCCCTCATAGCTGCTGTCCTAGCTTCAGCAAGCTGGGGTCCAAAGCGGAAGCCGGTCATGCCCCCTGTCTCTCAGCACATCCTCCTCCAGCCAGCGTCGCATGGACTTGCCCTTACTTCCTCCTCCTTGTTCCCAGGACCCCATCCATCTGTTCACCCCACTTCTCCAGACCCCATGGGTCCTGTGACCTCCCCCTCCCAACTCTGCTGTCTATTCTGCTAACACACACACAGCTGCAGGGGCAGACAGCACCTGCATGGTCAGGTACTGTCAGGGAGCCAGCCAGCAATAAATGACAAGGAGTCAATGGAAGTTAACTCTTTATTAGAAGAAACAAGGCCTGTTCTTAATGGCATCGCTATCAAGGATCTCCTCAGAGGTGGTGATAGGGTAGTGTGACAGGTTCAGCTACACTGGGCACCGGTATTGCAGCGAGCGCTGCAACAATGATGTAGAATGGAGCATGGGAAGAGAAAACTGCTTCACCCTGTGTTTTAAATCTAATGCCTCTGGCATCTTCCCTTTAATATTCCAAATATCAGCTAATTTCTACCCCTTTGCTAGTTTCTAATATTCAATGACTCTTGCAGTTGTGGGTGCCCCTGCACCCCCAAACTGTGTTACCCCAGATCTGTCACAGGCTCTTAGATTTGCTGCTAATGGATGTGATCGTTTTCAGTTCCAGCTAAACTTCCTGTATGATCAGGCATTTGTAAACAAATGAATCCAGTTTGGCTGTCATTTTCACTCTCTTTTGCAGCTTTGTTTCTGCTTATTGGTTTTTCTTTCTTTTGTGTGCATTTACTGTTCCTGCTGCAGGACCAGAAGCCTAACCTGCCCCTCCCATGCGCAGATGCAACAAAGGTGTGTAGAATAGAGGCAATGTTCATGTCATTTTTAATGTCTGACGCCATTCATTTCCTAATTATGCCCATTGATTAATACAACATTAATTTTCTGAAATCTTGCCTAACTCTTTGATAGGAGATGAATAGAGAGGTGGAATTTCAGGTGTCAAGCTTCTTATTAAGGAGAGTGTTCAAGGCCACCTCTAGATGGATATTACAAACTGCATTTACTCTACTCTCTAGTTTGTGAAAAGCAATTGTTTAGCTGTATAGGGAGTACAGAACAGAATTAAATTGACCTGCATCATACAGAAAGTAGCACTGAGCCCATTTACCTAAGAGTCTTTTGAAAGAATTCTTTTTCTTTTTCTTGTAGATGAGTGCTGACATGATTTCAAGGAAGTGATTATCTGTGTAATAGTTTTAAATGGATGAATTATTTCAGTGTATGAACATTAAGGTCAGCTTGAGCTATCATGTTCTTAGCTTATGTTTAAAATGTGAAAAGCTATCCAGCTATGTTGATGTTGTTGGGTTTTTTTAAAGGTGGTTTGGGAGAGAATTATTTCTGGCAATAACAGAGGGTCAGGGAACCGAGACATGTCATGGAAGGAGCCCATGTTTGTGTGCTTTGGCAACCTTTGGCTCAAATCAAATAATAGTAATAAAAAAATCCACCACTGTTTTTAAAGAGCACAGATCTGTGGTTCTTTGGAAGCGGGTATTCATAGAATGGCAGAGTTGGAAGAGACCAGTCATCTAGTCCAACCCCTGAACTGCAGGACTCATTTGCCCAACGTGGGGTTTGAACCCACAACCCTGAGATTGAGTCTCAAGCTCTACTAACTGAGCTATCCCAGGCTTCTCATAATGGTGAGTTTTAAACGATTTGCAAACCAGTTAGTTGGACCAGTGTGACATAGGCAGCCCTTAGCCCAGACTCTTTATTTGTGCAGTGTGCAAGTTTCTTTGGAGTGTGACTCCTTTATATATTCATGATGTAAATGCACTGATCATACTCTTCCTACACCATCTTTTGTGCTGGAAATTAACCAAGGGTTAGTTTTAAATGTTTATAACTGGTAGGAAAAACAGCCAATATTTGCTGCTAGCCCAGCTAGGCAGTCTCTCTGCCACTGTGGGCTTCTCCGCTTAAAGAGAGGCTAAAGTAGATTTATTAATAGGCAGGAACAATCGTCAGTCACAAGGGGCGTGTGGGCCAGTTCACCCAGATCCAAAGGACGCTATTCACACTTCTTTCCAACAAAGCCCCATTGAGAGCCTCGTGTTTGGTCAATGGTCCCATTGAGAGTGTGGCTTGTTTTTCACAGCAGACTTTCAAGAGGGGACAAATAGATTACTAATGGAGGGGGGCAGGCAAGCACACACAGTGGGCTATGGGAGAAGGTGGGGACTTTTATTATTGCAAAATTGGAATCTTGAAAAGTTGCCAAAGATGGGGGTTTCTTAATAAAGCAAACTGATGCCCGTTAAATGAGTGCCTATTTTTGGCAATCGACCCTGGACGGGAGCCTAAAAGCACTGTGTGGAAGTGAGTCCCATTCTGGACACAAGGAACTCTTCGGGGTTGGGGCCTTACATTCTGCTTTCTAGCTTTTCTGGGGAGAGCTATGGGCCATTACAGCTTGACCACTGTTATGGTACACTTCCCATAGCAGGGGGGAGGAATCAAAAGTGGGGAAGAGGTTGGATATGGTTTTAAAGAAACACAGGCTGAAATTTTCTCCTGAGGGCACACATTAATTTGGTGACTGAATTCAGCTTGATGTTAACTGTAGATCAGGATTTCATAAAAACAGTGAAGACTATGGCCCACTAGCCTGCTTTTCATTAGTGCTGCAGGATGCGTGCAGGGGACTGGTTCTTGTAACATAAATGAATTGGAGGACAAAGGGTCTTTAGCTGCCAGGTACACTGATCCAGCCCAGTAGACACCTATCAGACTGTACCAGTGCAGTTCCCAAATGATACACTGGGGAATAGCAAGATATTTGTGGGTTTTGAAGTCCAAAACAGCAACTCTAATGCAATTTCTCTCATTCTACTTTTCACTCACTGTGTTTGTGCACATACACTATTTGCATCTGTTCCTTGCAGGGTCTTTCCCCTACCATTAACAGGAAAAAACACCCATGGGACAAGGTCTAACTTTGGCAGGGACTTGCTTTTACACTGATTCCAGATGATTACTGCAGAATTACTGAATTCAAGCAGTCACCCCATGTATGCAGCCACAATACACTCAAAGTGACGCAAGGGATCCAGACAGGGGTGAGGAATCTGTGGCCTTCCAGTTTGCTTGTTTATAGCACCCAGAGCCTGTAACAAAAATCAGTAGTATGCCATTCCTTGCCCTCAGGTTTATAATCCGAAAGCATGTAATATGAAGAAAAGGGAAGGGGGTGAGAAGCAAGGCCAGGCACCCGTTCTGAAAGTTATAGTTCTTACGATGCAGTTATATAGTTCTAAATTTGCAGATTCTGCTGTCTAGCAGAGCAGCCCCTCCCCCTCTCCCTGTTCACCACCCACAATCAGATCCAGAAGAAGAGAAGGGACCATGTTCCAAGTCAGGAGGACAAGGCACCTTCTCTCAGAGAGCTGGCTTGATGGCATTTGGTATTCCCATAGGAGAGAACTTGATGGAGCTCCCTTTCTCCCCTCGTGAGGCCTGTGGCAGCTCTGACAAAGAGCAACCTCACCAGTGGCATAGTGTGGGTGGGCTTTCGCCCCAGGAACACTTTGGGAGGGGCACAACCAGATGCCCTCACAAGGTCCCACTGGAGCCTGGCAAAGATTCCTTGCCCCCAGCCACAGTTCCACTCCCAGGTCAGGGCAGAGTGAAGGAGAGTCAGGGGCAGCCCTGCCACCCCGCTGCTCCACTGGGTTACAGTGAGCCACAGTGGGCTCCCTCCATGCCCCTGGTGGTGGAAGCATACGCTCTGCCACTGAACCAGGCCCTGGAAATATCACCCTTCACAATCAGGTATGGGAGCAGAAAAGAATGACCTGGCTTGCACATAACCACAACATTAAGCCATGGCTTAATTCAATCATGGCTTGGTTCTCTGAATACTACACAGTAGCTTAACTATCATTTTGTTTACTGAAAGCTATGGTTTGTTGTTGGCTTTCAAAGTTTGGTTTTTAAAAACTATCACTCAGTTGCATGTTAACCCAGCACTCTTCCTTAAACATAGGTTGTTTGGTCACCATGCCCGAGATGTATATCAAGGCACAAATGCAAGGGCAGCTGGAAAACAAACCACACTTTGGAGTAACATGCCATGGTTTGTCTGTGGACCACTCATGGTTAAACAAACCATTGCTTAGTGTTTTATACAACTACAAACCAGTCAATTACAAGGTCAGGAGGACAAAGCTGCTCCTACCACAGTTCTTGTTGGTGGCCAATGGCAGCTGCTGTTGGACTCACTTTCCCATCAGCCCCTACCAGTGGTCAGAGATGATGGGAGTTGTAGTGGGAACACCTTAGAACTATGTGTGGGGTAACTGACACTCTTGAGAGCCAGTGTGGTGTAGTGGTTAAGAGCGGTAGTCTCGTAACCTGGGGAACCGGGTTCGCGTCTCCGCTCCTCCACATGCAGCTGCTGGGTGACCTTGGGCTAGTAACACTTCTTTGAAGTCTCTCAGCCCCACTCCCCTCACAGAGGGTTTGTTGTGGGGGAGGAAGGGAAAGGAGAATGTTAGCCGCTTTGAGACTCCTTAAAGGGAGTGAAAGGCGGGATATCAAATCCAAACTCTTCTTCTTCTTCTTCTTCTTGATACTAATCTTATGCATATGAACAAGTGCTTGGCATAGATAAAATCAGGAGAGACTTCTGATCTTCTCACTTTATAAGCATACTGACTATAGCATAGGGGAAAGAGATATGTAAGATAGAGAGAAATAACAAGGGATAAATATGTCAGGAGTGCTCTGATGGTGTTTCCTGCTTGGCAGGGGGTTGGACTCGATGGCCCTTGTGGTCTCTTCCAACTCTATGATTCTATGATTCTATGATTCTAAATGAAAGCAAATATAGGTACACATACTTGGGCTTCATTTCAGTTGGAGATACAGGCTAAGGAGTTAATCCACTGGCTTTATAGAAAATACTGTTTTTGAGCTAAGGTTTGAAAGGAGGGAGCTGCTATCACAGTTGTTCTAGGAGTCCCAAGAACAGGGGACAGCAACAACAACAAAAAATGTTTTACAGCATAAGCCTATTCATGTTTACTCAGAAGTAAGCCCACTGAATCCCAGTGTGACGCGGCAGCTAAAAAAGCCAATGCAATTCTGGGCCGCATCAATAGGAGTATAGCATCTAGATCAAGGGAAGTAATAGTGCCACTGTATTCTGCTCTGGTCAGACCTCACCTGGAGTACTGTGTCCAGTTCTGGGCACCACAGTTCAAGAAGGACACTGACAAACTGGAACGTGTCCAGAGGAGGGCAACCAAAATGGTCAAAGGCCTGGAAACGATGCCTTATGAGGAACGGCTAAGGAGCTGGGCATGTTTAGCCTGGAGAAGAGGAGGTTAAGGGGTGATATGATAGCCATGTTCAAATATATAAAAGGATGTCACATAGAGGAGGGAGAAAGGTTGTTTTCTGCTGCTCCAGAGAAGCGGACACGGAGCAATGGATCCAAACTACAAGAAAGAAGATTCCACCTAAACATTAGGAAGAACTTCCTGACAGTAAGAGCTGTTCGACAGTGGAATTTGCTGCCAAGGAGTGTGGTGGAGTCTCCTTCTTTGGAGGTCTTTAAGCAGAGGCTTGACAACCATATGTCAGGAGTGCTCTGATGGTGTTTCCTGCTTGGCAGGGGGTTGGACTCGATGGCCCTTGTGGTCTCTTCCAACTCTATGATTCTATGATTCTAGGTAAGTATGCATAGGATTGCAGCCTCAGAGGGCAGCATATGGTGGTAGAACGAGCAGAATAAAGATCACGGGTAGATATATTTTATAAGGAAGGGCTGCAGAGAGTCTTAAATGTAAGGACAATGTGCATTTTGGTATAAGAGACATGTGTTCTTGCTCTAGTCTAGAGAGATTGCATGGCGGGGCAGTGGGGGAGGGCAGGGGAAGTTTTTTTAATGGGGGGATATTCCAAATTGCATGGGTTGGTGATGTGTGTGTGTGTGCACCTTGATGTAAAGCTCTGGTGTGACTCGGGGTGAAGTCACTGGTACCATCCAATAGCTACTCATGAGAAGTATTTTCATGCCATATTAGCACAAGGACAGTTACACATCTTGAGGCAAAAATAATTGATTTAGTGCTTGGGGTGCTGAAGAACTGTGATTCCCCCACAACGGAAGCACTTGTTGGGACAATGTTGTCTAGGCCTATTAATGACAGCTGTACAGTCCCCTGTCTGAAAACAACAGTGTCTTTTTCTCCTCCTCCCCCCCCCCCACTTGTTTTTGTGTGAAAGGAAGCATGGAGCTGGAAACCTCTGCCCAGGGCTTGAATACAAGGAGTTTGTTTGCATGTCCATTGTTCACTGCTGTCCTTTTGATCACTGCTGCTGTCCTTGGCATTTCAAACTATTTGTGCATGGGGTGGGGGTGGGAGCCAATTGTGCATGCGCCGTTTTCAAGCTAGGCCTCATGAAAACCAGGAAAGCTCATTCTACTGCATTTGGTGAACAGTTCCCTTCTTCCACCCACCCTCACATAACCCACTTCATTGCAAGTTTTGTGCAGGAGGATCTTGTGTCTGGTGCAGATTATGGCAGACTAATAAAAGTGTCCCCTCCAGATTGTCCTGACGTCCTAGAAGCAGGCGTTGTGACAGAAAATGCACACACTCCATGTGTACAATATTTTCTTT